TGAAGCATCTTGGTCTTGTTCTTGATGTTGTAGAATTTCTTCACATATCCATCTGTTGCTATTCATGTGTGTGTTTTATCAAGAGTGGTTGTTGAATTTTGTCGAAGTTCTTTTCAGAATCTGAAGGTAATCCTGGGTTTATTTCATATCTACCACCATGATGAATTATATTTAGAGGTACTGGTGACATGATCTTTGCATTCTTCACATTTACTAATGACGTGTTATTTTCATGTGCTACTGGATCTCTTTGCCTTTAAGAAAAAATGTGCCGGCATGCATGTTTGTAAGTGAGAGTGCTGTATCATTTCCTTGTGCAGCATCTGTCACTTTCAAATATTGGTATCTGTTGCATCATGTAAGTAATGTGGATGTTCTTTCTTTCCTAAGTTTTGGAACACTTTATTTTTTTTTAATTATTTTATGATATAGATGTGGGGTACAAGTTAGGATTAGGTACATAAGTAGCCTATGTGAAGTGTTGGTCTCCAACGGGTCCTTACTTCTCCTGGTTTAGGACCAGATACGCTTTGTGTTGTTAAGTACCCCCTCACCCCCAGTAGTGTACCATGACTGCCGATCCCTCCCTTGTGCTATTGTGGTTAATGTTCAGATCCCATACTTTAAAATCCACTGGAATTATCCTTCCTTCCTTCCTTTCTTCCATCCTTCCATCAGAGTCTCGCTCTGTTGCCCAGGTTGGAGTACAGTGGCATGCTCATAACCACAGCCTTGACCTCCTGGGCTCAGGCAATCCCTTCCGCCTCTGCCTTCCAAGTATCCAGAACTACAGGCATGCGCTACCGCACCTGGTTAATTTCTTTGATTTATTGTAGAGATGCGGTCTCACCATGTTGCCCAGACTGGTCTTGAACCCACGGGCTCAGGCAATCCACTCTCCTCGGCCTCCCAAAGTGCTGGGATTATAGACTGAGCCACTGAGCCTGGCTGAGGCTGTTTTTTCTAAGAGTTCTTCCAGTATTTCAGTAGAGAAAAGTCACAGATTTCTACCCCTGACGGAAGATGAATTCAGGTCTAGAGAAAAAAGGTTCTTTCTCAAACAGTAAGAATTGTAGGCCAGGTGTGGTGGCTCACTCCTGTAATTCCAGCAATTTTGGAGGAGGGGCAAGAGGATTGCTTGAGCCCAGGGGTTCAAGACTAGCCTGGGCAACTTGGTGAGCTCTTGTCTCTACAATAAATAAATAAATAATTAGCTGGGTGTGGTGGCGCATACCTGTAATCCCAGCACTTTGAGATTTGGAAGCAGAGAGCCTTGCCTAAACCCAGGAGTTCGAGACCACCCTTGGCAACATGGCAAAACCTCATCTCTACAATTAATAAAAAATTTAGCTTGATGTGGTGGCACATGCCTGTGGTTTCAGCTACTTGGAAGCCTGAGACAGTAGAATTGCCTGAGCCTAGCAGGTTGAGGCTGGGGTGGCTGTGAGCATATCACTGCACTCCAGTGTGGGTGACAGAATGAGACTCTGACTAAAAAAAAGGCCAGGCACAGTGGCTTATGCCTGTAATCCTAGCAATTTGGGAGGTGAGAAGATTGCCTGAGCCCGTGGGTTTGAGACCAGCCAGGGCAACTTGGGAAGACCCTGTCTCTACGATAAACCAGAAAGAAAAAAATTGTAATAACTTGGATTTCCACATTCTAAGAAGCAGCTTAGTCAAATATTTTGTCACTTAATTTGTCTAGAAAAGAACACTGAGACACCAGGCATGGTGGCTCACGCTGGTAATCCCAGCACTTTGAGAGGCGGAGGTGAGAGGATTTCCTGAGCCCATGGGTTCAAGACCAGCCTGGACAACTTGGCAAGACCTCATCTCTACAATAAATCAAAAAATTAGCTGGGTGTGGTGGCACATACCTGTAGTTCCAGCTACTTGGAAGGCTGAGGCGGAAGGATCACCTGAGGCCAGCAGGTCAAGGCTGCGGTGGCCGTGAGTGTGCCATGGCACTCTAGTCTGGGCAACAGATAGAGACTCCTATTCAAAAAAGAAAGAAAAGCATTGAGAGCATCAATTCTGGTGTCAGATTGCATGTTTCACATTCTGACATTGACATTATCTTTAAACCCTGGACATACTACTCAATGCTCTGTTCCTCTTAAGTTTATCCCAAGCCTCCATTTCTTTTAACTTCCTTGTGAGTGATAAAATCTTAGAGAGGTTAAACATGTAAAGTTTTGAGATTTGGCCGGCTTCGGTGGCTCAGCCTGTAATCCTGCGCCTTTGGGAGGCCGAGGTGAGTGGATTGCCTGAGCCCGTGGGTTCAAGACCCGCTTGGGCAGCGAGACCTCATCTCTACAATAAATCAAAAAATCAGCCGGGCGTGGTAGCGCATGTCTGTAATTCCAGCTACTTGGAAGGCTGAGGCGGAAGGATCGCCGGAGCCCAGCAGGCAAGGCTGCGGTGGCTGGGAGCGGCCGCTGCACTCCAGTCTGGACGACAGAGTGAGACTCCAACTCAAAAAAAAAAAAAAAAGTTTTGAGATTTGTAAGGGGTAGCACATAAGAGTCTAAAATTTCTGGACAAACACACACCTTAGAATAGGTAAATAGAGTTGCACATGGTGACACACCTGCAGCCCCAGCTTTTCAGGAGGCTGAGGCAAGAGGATCACTTGAGCCCAGGAGTTCAAAGCTTCAGTGAGCTGTGATTGTACCATACTGCATTATAGCCTAGGTGGCAGAGCAGGACTGTCCAAAAAAAATAAAAGAACAGGTAGCCGCGCGTGGTGGCTCAAGCCTGTAATCCCGCACCTTTGGAAGGCTGAGGTGAGTGGATTGCCTGAGCCCGCGGGTTCAAGACTCGCCTGGGTAACTCGGCGAGACCTCATCTCTACAATAAATCAAAAAGTTAGCCGGGCGTGGTAGCACACACCTGTAGTTCCAGCTACTTGGAAGGCTGAGGTGGAAGGATCGCCGGAGCCCAGCAGGTTGAGGCTGCGGTGGCCGGGAGCGGCCACTGCACTCCAGTCTGGGCGACAGAGTGAGACTCCAACTCAAAAGAAGAAAATGCCTAGATGGCTCCTATTTCTTCCTGTCACCAAGATCTACCCATACCTATTGTTTTCTTCAAGACGGGGGGTGGGGAATACTTCCATATCTCCTGCAATGGATGAGTCACAGGGTGCCAAAATCATTTTATCCTCAAAGTAGAAATAGCCTTTGTAGTATAAGAAAGATAACAGAGGCTGGGTATGGTAGCTCACGCCTGTAATCCTAGCACTTTGGAAGGTCAAGGAAGAAGATTGCTTGAACCCAGGAGTTTAAGACCAGCCTGAGCAAGACCTTGTCTCTACAAAATATCAAAAAATTGGCCGATGTGGTGGGGCATGCCTGTAGCCCCAACTACTCAGGAGGCTAAGGAGGAAGGATCACCTGAGCCTAGGCGGTTGAGGCTGTGATGAGCCGTGATCCTGCCACTGCACTCCGCCTGTATGACAGAATGAGTCTCCCAACTCAAAAAAAAAAAAAAAGGTAACGGTATTTGGTCTTTGGCTCTGGTTCAGGGCACAGAACTTCTAAGACCCTTGTAATCTCCTTGCGTTAGGGTGGTAGGAACATCTTTTATTCTGATTCGGTAACTCCTGATGGCCCCTAGATAGCTTCAGTGTGGTCACTAGAAAGACCAAGTTTTCATTAGAAACTTGGAACTTTCAGCCTCATCCCCTTCAACCTCCTGGTGAGGGAAGAAGGATGAGGGACTGGAGATTGAGTTAATCACCAATGGCAGATGATCTAATCAATTGTGCCTACATAATTAAACCTCTATAAAGTTTGCCCTGAATCAATGGAGTTTAGAGAGCTTCTAGGTTGACGCACACATCAAGGTGCTGGGAGGGTCTTGCCAAGAGAAGGCATGGAAGCTCTACTCACCCCCTACCTTCCACCCTTACCCTATGCATCTCTTGCATTTAGCTGTTCCTGAGTTATATCCTTTACAATAACCTGGTACTAGAAAGGAAAGCACTCTTCTGAGTGGTGTGAGTCGTTCTGGCAAACTAGCGAACCTGAGGAGGAGTCCTGGGAACCCCTGAATTTGTACTTGGCCGAGCAGAAATGTCGGTAGCCTAAGCACTACTATTTGTGACTGACCTCTGAAGTGGGCACGATCTTGTGGGACCTAGCTCTACATGGTTAGTGTCAGAACTGAATTGTAGTCGGTATTGGAGAATTGTGGGAAAAACCACACACACCAGGTGTCAGAAGTGTTGTCAGGAAAAAACTCAGCCTTCAAGTAGACAATAATAACCCTTTAAAATAGTAAATATGGCCAGGTGTGGTGGCTCCCACCTATAATCCCAGTATCTTGGGAGGCCAAGGTGAGAGAATTGAGCCCATGGGTTCAAGACCAGCCTGGACAACTTAGCAAAACTTCATCTCTACAGTAAATAATTTTTAAAAATTAGCCAAGTGCGCACGTGCGTGCCTGCAGTTCCAGCTACTTGGAAGGCTGAGGCGGAAGGATCGCCTGAGCCCAGCAAGTGGAGGCTGTGGTGGCTGTGAGTGTGCCACTGTACTCCTGCCTGGGCGACACAGTGAGACTCCAGCTAATAAAAAAATTTTTTTAATAGTAAATATTTCTAAATCTCCGCCCAGTAGGCATAATCAAATGTCTCAAGCCTGTAATCCCAGCACTTTGGGAGACCGAGGTGAGAAGATTGCCTGAGCCTGCGGGTTCAAGACTAGCCTGGGCAACTTGGCGAGACCTCGTTTCTACAATAATTTTTTTAAAAACTAGCCGGGCATGGTGGTGCCTGCTTGTAGTTTCAGCTACTTGGAAGACTGAGGTGGAAAGATCGCCTGATCCCAGCAGGTCGAAGCTGTGGTGAACGTGAGCGTGCCACTGCACTCCAGCCTGGGTAACAGAGTGAGACTCCAACCCAATAAAGTAAATAAACGAATGGATAAATAAATAAAAATGACAGCACGGTCCTTGCGCTCGCCGGGAGGACCGCAAGAGGACCGGAGGTGGCTGCAGCCGCAATGACACTCAAGGCCGCTGGAGGGCGCTCCGGGACCGCGGACCGGGCTCACGCATGCGCACGCCTTTCGCACGGACAGCGTTTAACCCGCGCATGCGTGCGGGCCGCGTGCAGACCCGCGGCACCTTACTCCAGCTGTTGGGGAGAGGCGCCAGCGCTGGACGAGCGCGCCTTGCCGTTCCAGATGTCCGAACTGCCCGGAGAGAGCAGGGTCGCAGAGGGGGGCACAGCGAGCGGCGTCAGCGACGTCCTGCAGGCTGCAGTAGGCGGCGGGAGTCGGGCGCAGGAGCCCCGGGAAGGCCCCATGGCCGAAGCTGCCCGACCCATGGCGCGGGTGCGGGGCGCTGCTCACGGGCCGGTCCCCGACAGCGCCCCAGGCCCGGCGTCCGTGCCGGACCCCCACCGGCAGCTGGGCTTCTTAGGGATCCATCAGCAGCTGCTGTTCCGCGAGTACCTGGACACCTGCCCCATGATCCCAGCCCGATTGCTGCGCGACATCGAGGAGCGCCGCCGGCTGTTCGTGGAGGGCTGCAAGGCCCGGGAGGCAGCCTTTGACGCGAACCCCCCGCAGATGGACTTCGACGCCGTCGCTTTTGCTCTGGCTCTGACCGCATCCGAGGCCACCAGTCCCCTGGCCGACTGAGTCGGCCGTGGTGAGACCGGTGGCAAAGAATAAGGTGACCCTTCGGATCGGAACAGAGTCGTTCGGAGGGCACGCGGACTGGGAGAGAACGGGCCGCGCACCGCCGAAAGTGGGGCGCACTCAGAAAAGGGACAGGACACTGGAGACCGCCGGACCTTGTGTGCCAGGAGGTCCCGGGACTCTTCTGTCGTACCGCTTTGTGTCTGTTAGCAGTGCTCGCCCCTGCATTCGTGGAAAACCTTCCAAGATTGTTTCACCATAAAGGATGGTTTTGCAAAGATGAGCTCTGAGAAAAATTGGCAAGAGTAGGACCCTTAAAAATTAACCAACGTGACGACAGAAAGATAAGAAAATACAGCTGTTAGGAGTCCCGTTGTGTCTGAGTTATTAGGGGTTGGAAAGCGATGGAGAGAACTTTGAAGTTTCAGAATCTTAGTGTAAGATGAATGTTTGTGTTTTCTGAGACACTTTAGATGAATAGTAAATATTCAAATAGAAAAAAATTTACTGTAAGATAAATATGTTTTCAAATCCATGTGAAATTGCGTAGGTGTGGGAATAGATTTGTTTTTGTCTTAAGTTTTTTATTTTATTCTAGAATATGTCATCTATTCACAAGACTCAAAAAAAAAAAACAAAGTAGTAAAAGATGCCGTGAGAAATATCTCTCATATTCCTAACCTCTGTCTGCCACATTAAAAACTATGGGGTTTTTATTTTGGTGTTTTGTGGGGGTTTTGCTTTTTCGTTGTTGTTTTGTTTTTACTGTATGCCTTTCACCAAGTTTCCTAATGCCTGTGCAGATAAATATGCAGATAAATATCAACCTAAATATTCTGCATTTTTCCTTTTTTAAATCAAGGTAGCACGTTCTATACCTCTACCAGCATCTTGGGTTTTTTTGCCTGTGTTGGAGAGATTTCTATATTGGTGTTTCTTTTCTTTACAACTACAATGTATCACTTTTTTTTTTTTTTTTAGTTGGAGTCTCACTTTGTTGCCCTGGCTGAAGTGCAGTGGCACAATTATGGCTACTGCAGCCTTGACCTGCTGGGCTCAACCCATCCTTCTGCCTCAGCTTTACAAGTAGCTAGAACTACAGGCGCACACCACCATGCTAATTTTTATATTTATTGTATAAATATAATTTATTTATTTATTTATTGCCAAGTTGCTCAGGCTGGTCTCCAACCCCTGGGCTCATGCAGTCCTCTCACCTCAGCCTCCCAAAGTGCTGGGATTACAGGCATGAGCCACCACACTAGGCGGGATGTATCGCTTTTAAGAGACAGGGGCTCCCTCTGTCGTCCAGGTTGTAGTGGACATGATCATAGCTCACTGCAGCCTTGAATGCCTGGACTCAAGCAATCCTCCTGCCTCAGCCTCCCAAGTAGCTGGCACTACCAGTACAAGCCAACATGCCCAGCTAAATTTTTTTGTGGGACAGGGGGAAGTAGAGATAGTGTCTGTGTTGCCCAGGGTGGTCTCAAACTCCTAGCCTCAAATGATCCTCCCACGCAGTCCTTCCAAAGTACTGGGATTAAAGGTGTGAGCCACCATGCCTAGCTGATGAAGGAATACTTTTTTTTTTTTTTAAGTCAGAATCTCACTCTGTCACCTAGGCTGGAGTGTAGTGGCATGCTCACGGCCACCACAGCCTCAACCTGCTGGGCTCAGGTGATCTTCTGCCTCAGCCCTTCAAGTAGCTGGAACTACAGGCTTGTGCCACCACACCTGGCTAATTTTTTTATTTACTGTACAGACGAGGTCTTGCCAAGTTGCCCAGGCTGGTCTCAAACCCCTGAGGTCAGGCAGTCCTCTCTCCTCAGCCTCCCAAAGTGCTGGGATTACAGGTGTGAGCCACTGCACCCGGCAAAGGAATACTTTTCAATGTTAACATTAAAACTGTTATTCATCGAGAATATTTTAGGTTCTGCTAGTGCTTTTCCACCCTCCTTGCTCTTCTCTTCCTAAGTTTTTCTTGCTGTTCTTTCATTGTTTTTTCTACTGTGGAACTTTAAGATCAACTTAACTAGTTTCCATTTTACAAAAGCTGTGACTATTTTTATTTGGATTGCATGAAGTTTATATACTTTGAGTGAGAACTGACGTCTTTATGATGATGTCTTCCTGTCCAGTAATGTGGTAAGTCTTTCCGTTTGTTCAGGTACTATTTCATGTCCCCTGATATATTCCCTATATAAAAGCCTTGTGTATTTTTTGTTAAAAATATTCCAAGGATTATTTATCTGTTTATTGTTTATGGCTATTGTGAGGGGGCTTTTGCTTGTAATTTTGAAACTATTTCTCTTTTTTTAGTGCTCATTAAACTTATTCTATTCTCTTATTGTTTGCATTGCTTTTTCTTTGGTATACAATCATATCGTCTACAAAGGACAATAGTTGTATCTCTTTCTTTCTATTTTTTAATAGCTGATTCCTTTCTCTTGTATAATTGCTTTGGCTAGAAGCTCCAGCCCAGTATAAATGATAATAGAGCTGGGTGTGGTGGCTCATGTCTGTAATCACAGCACTTTGGGAGGTGGACATGAGAGGATTGCCTGAGCCCAGGGGTTCAAGATGAGCCTGGGCAACTTGGCGAGACCTTGTCTCTACAATAAATCAAAAACTTAGCCAAGCATGGTAGCACGCACCTGTAGTTGCAGCTACTTGGAAGGCTGAGGCGGAAGGATTGCCTGAGCCTAGTAGGTTGAGGCTGCGGTGGCTGTGAGCGTGCCACTGCCCTCCAGCCTGGGAGACAGACCGAGACTCCAACTCAAAAAATTAATAAAGTAACAAAATAAATAACAGAGTGAGAAGACATCTTTGTCTTTTTCCTGGCTTTAGTGGGAATGCTTCTAGTGTTTCCCTTGTAAGTATTATATTAGCTTTTGGGTTGAAATACATTGTATCATGTTAAGGAAATCTACATCTATTCCTATTTATTGTCTGTTTTCCTCAAGAATGGTTGGGAAACCGATGCAGAGGCTCACGTCTGTAATCCCAGCACTTTGGGAGGCAGAGGCGAGAGGATTGTCTGAGCCCAGGGATTCGAGACCAGCTTGGGCAACTTGGCGAGCCCTCGTGTCTACAATAAGTAAAAAATTAAGCCGGGCTCGGTGGCTCAGCCTGTAATCCCGCGCCTTTGGGAAGCTGAGGTGAGTGGATTGCCTGAGCCCACAGGTTCGAGACCCGCCTGGGCAGTGAGACTTCATCTCTACAATAAATAAAAAAATCAGCCGGGCATGGTAGCTCATGCCTGTAATTCCAGCTACTCAGAAGGCTGAGGCGGAAGGATCGCCAGAGCCCAGCAGGTCGAGGCTGCGGTGGCCGGGAGCGGCCACTGCACTCCAGTCTGGGCAACAGAGTGAGACTCTACCTCAAAAAAAAAAAAAAAAAATTAGCTGGGTGTGGTGGCGTGTGCCTGTAGTTCCAGCTACTTGGAAGGCTGATGCAGAAGGATTGCCTGAGCCCAGCAGGTTGAGGCTGTGGAGGCCATGAGTGTGCCACTGCACTCTATCCTGAGCAACAGAGTGAAGACTCCAACTCAAAAAAGAACGGTTGGGAATTTTTGTTCAAAGTCAGTTCCGTGTTTATGGATTTCTTTTCTCACACGATATACTTTTTTCTCACACGATACACTTACATGTTGAATTATGTTCATAGATTTTCTAGGAGTGGGCCTTGCAGTTGGGATGACCCTCACTTAGACATGATACATTATTTCTTGGTATGATATTAGGTTCTGTTAAATAAATAAAATATTGCTAACATTTTATTTAAGATTTTAGGCCAGGTGTGGTGCTTATGCCTATAATCTCCAGGCCAAGGCTGGAGGATTACTTGAGCCCAGGAGTTCTACACCAGCCTAGGCAATATAATGAGACCTCACCTCTACAAAAAAATTAAAAAATTCACTGGGCATGATGATGAGTGCTGTAGTCCCATAATCCCAGCTACTCAGGAGGCTGAAGTGAAATGATCACCTGAGCCCAGGAGGTCCAGGCTACAGTGAGCCATGACTGTGCCACTGCACTCCAACCTGGGCACTAGAATTAATAAGTGAAAATAGTTTATAGACTTTTTAAATGTCTAGATTGATAATATATTTATTTAAATAATATGGAAATATAATTTTGTTTCTTTTCTCCTGCTCTGTAAAAGCTAGCATTGGAATTATCTGATTTTTAAAGTTTTACAAATTTTTCTTATGCAAACCATCCAGAACTCATGCTTTTTTAGGATACTAGTCTCTTGATAATTTTCTATTTTTTTGTGAAGTAAAATCAATAGAGTGTGTAGGGTACTTATCTGAGTATTAATATTTCTCCACTGGCTTAAAATATAGCATGTTCTGACTCATTTTGCCTTTTTTTTTTTTTGACTTGGAGTCTTACTCTGTGACCTAGACTGGAGTGCAGTGGCATGCTCATGGCCACCTCAGCCTTGACCTGCTAAGCTCAGGTGATCCTTCTCCTTAGCCTTTCAAGTAGCTGGAACTACAGGCATGTGCCACCACATCCAGCTAATTTTTTGATTTATTGTCGAGATGAGATCTCACCAAGTTGTCCAGGCTGGTCTCGAACCTCTGGGTTCAGGCAATTCTCTTGTCTTGGCCTCCCAAAGTGCTGGGATTATAGGTGTAAGCCACCATACCCAGCCTCTGTCTTTTCTGAATATGTGCCTCTGTCTCCACTGCTGGTGGCATAAGGAAGTTATTAAACTAAGAGTATTGTGCAGTATCTGGAATTTATAACCTATGTAAGATTTTCCCACTGTTGTCTCTATAAATCAGGTTCGATCCTCACCATCATTGCTTCTATAATGCTGGTATGAAATAGGTGGAAGACAGATAGGGGTGGGGATATCCTACCTGGAGAACTTTCTGTGGCCTGGACTACCCCTCCCGAGGAGATCAGACCCAAAGAGGTCAGGCCCAAAAATAAACACATGCTTCACAAGCAGAAATAATAGGAATCATTTCTAAAGAATATTTATTTAGGCCGGGCACAGTGTCTCACACCGAGCCCAAGGGCTGGAGACCAACCTGGACAACTTGGTAAGACCTCATCTCTACAATAAATCAAAAAATCAGCCAGGCGTGGTAGTGCACGCCTGTAATTCCGGCTACTCGGAAGGTTGAGGCGGAAGGATCGCCGGAGTCCAGCAGGTCGAGGCTGTGGTGGCCGGGAGCGGCCACTGCACTCCAGTCTGGGCAACAGAGTGAGACTGAGTTGGAGTCTCACTCTGTCGCCCAGGGTGGAGTGTAGTGGCACACATGCTCACGTCCCATGCTCATGTCTTGAATTCATAGGCTCAAGCAATCCTCCCACCTCGGCTTCCCAAAGTATCCGGACTACAGGTATGAGCTATCATACCTGGTCTACCTCCACTATTTTTTTTTTTCATTCATTCTGTTACTTTTAATAATTTAACTTCTTAAGTTGAATTTTTAGTTAATCAAGTTACACCCTTCTTTTCCATTATAACCATTTAAGTCAGGTAAAAAAATTTCCCCTGAGCACCATTTTAGTTGAAAGCCACAAGTTTAGATCCCAAATTTGTGTGAGTGTAGACTTATTAACAGAAGACTTTTTTTTTTTTTGAGCCAGAGTCTCACTCTGTCACCAAGGCTGGAGTGCAATGGCATGCTCACAGCCTCCCAAAGTACTAGGCGATCTGCCTGCCGGGCTCAGGCAATCCTTCCGCCTCAGCCTTCCAAGTAGCTGGAACTACAGCTACCATGCCTGGCTAATTTTCTTTACTGTAGAGCTGAGGT